GAATTGCACGTAGCACGCAATATGACTTCATTATTTTTAGACACCTGATATACGCTGCTTCAGATTCTTTACCCTAAAAGGTTTGAACGAATCACAGCCTACAATGCGTGACGACATTTGTTTACGTAAGAAAATTGAAATCAAGATTTATCTGGATGATTTTATGCACTAGAATTTACCCTGCAAAAAAAGTTTGTGGTTAGAAGGAAGCTTTTCTTGCTGTCTTTTTCTTGCAGGAGGGGGGGGAGAATAGTACTGTAACATTAATATCGAAAAAAGGAGAAGTAAAGGAAATCTGTTGGCCTGATTGCGTGTATTTCTGATCAATTATTAAGAACAACAGTTTATACGTAGATGATATAGGTAGAATAATTTAAATAAATTAGACTAAGATCACAATAATAAAACAGGATATCAGAACTAAAAAAGAAAAAAGAAAAACAAAACCAAATTCAACCGCCCAAATAGCAATATAGTTTATTATTACGATTCTCTCGCCTAGTCGAAAAGTCACTAGATATATACACTAACTTTTTTCAATGTCTTATGTTATTTTGTAATTTTGATGATGGGTGTGCACATTAATGTTTATATCTTTATGCAGACGGTCGCAGTGATCAATGATTGTGATTGATATGTGACCTTCATAGATCGATAAGCTAGATACGCCCCTGACCTAGATAAATCACTGCACAAAAAAAAAACTTGTATTTAGACCATTTAACACATAATGGCTTTTTTCTCTAAACCCAAAATTTAATGCCATTAGAAATTGATTTTACAGTGATAATTTAAATTCTTCATGGTGGACACATTGGTTCATATAAGTAAAAATATAATGATATTAATAAAAAATAAGTGTAACAATGATTTTAATTTTGCGGTTTTCTAGGCTTTTAATAGGTGTGGCTTTCTATCTTTAATAGCGTTATACAGGCCTGACATTTTTGGCTTTATTTTCAGCTATAAATTTTCCCCTGTTGGAGATGAATTGATCATTTTTGCATTTACATAAAGCTTTACAGGAAAGTGAAAATTTTATTGTAATAAGTAAGATATTTCAGGATTTTCTACAAAAGTTCTGATAGGTAAAATTATGAAAAATATGGTAGGTAAAATTATGAAAAAATAGCTGTTATACTTGAAATGACCCATTTACACGTACACAATAATCACAGATATCGCGGATGGAGAAGACAGAGAAGACAGGGCTTAATAAAAATGATATCGTCACATTCTCTTTCCTAAGGGCCCCTTTACACTGGACGGCGTCCTTTCTGCGTCCCTTCTGCGTTCAAAAATGTGACCAGGACGCTCAACGGTCGCCAAAGCAATTAAATCGTGTCTCAGTGTAAAGGCGTCTGCGTACCTTGTGCGTCCTTTGAACGACCGAATCTTGATTTTACCTGTAAAACTGCGAGCAATCTGCCTGCCTCCACTGTACGTCCTCTCTGCAAAACAAGGCGTCCATTGCGATGTTTGAGCGACCATTGAGCATTCTTGTACCTTCATCGGCGATCAGTGGCGTCTATTCTACGATCATTCTGCATCCTGCTTGACCGATGAGCGTTGTTTGGGCGTCCTTCTCTATATTCTAACTCATATTTTTCATCGGTTCTAACCAGGTCATCTAATAAAGAACATTTCCAGCACACAAAACAAATAAATGGCAATAAATGCTTTAAACTATAGTGATGCAAGGTCTGTATGGACTGATTATCGGCCAGATGCTCATTGTTATCCTTATAAGAAGGAAGGACAGGCGCCGAAAACGAGAAAGTGCGACTGACACAACATAAAATATTTGAATCCGTTTTCAAATGACGCATTCTGCAAAAAGTTCTGACAATTAATGCATCTTGTAAAAAAAGGCAAAATATTCGTTTTATAATAACCTCAAAAAAAAAATGGATCGTTTCATGAATTTTAGGGGAAAAAACAATCGGAGGCTGATATGAGACCACTGTTGCCCTTAGAATCCCTGTCTGGTGAAAAATACCTCAGCACGGCCCCGTTTGACATTTAAAAAAATAATGTTTAACGTGCCGAACACTGGACGATCTTTGAGTTTTCATTCTGCAACCAAAGCGATGCTTGTGCCTCCTTTCTACGACCGCGGCGATGCTGGTGCGTCCTCTCTGCGATTACGGCGATGCTTGTGCGTCCTTTCTGCGTCCATTGAGCGACCATCCTCCATCGCGTTCTCTCTGCGATTGTTTTGAACATGCTCAAAACTTCGCGGCGTCCATGGCGTCCTCGGCGATGCTTGAACGTTCTTTGTGCGACCTTAGCAATCACTGTGCGTTCTTTGAGCGTCCGACGGCGTTCTGGCCAGTTTCATGGTCGCACAAAGGACGCAGAAAGGACGCCGTCCAGTGTAAAGGGGGTTTTAGCTCGTCTCCATCACGTTAAGCGGGGCTGTGTTACAGCTCAAATAACGCAGACATTGTTAGATGTAACCAAGACGGTGCGTGCAAGAAATGTCACCTGGGCATTTACTTTGTTTCAGGCATGTCGCGATAGAAATGGAAATCGTCTCACACCCATACAGGGTTTTTTTTTTTTTTTTTTTTTTTTTTTTTTTGCCACATCACACCTGCTGAGTCGCAGTTGCCGTCACTGAGATCGTTCCCAGGACCTCGTGAGAATACAGATTTTCTCCGTAACATGTGTACGAAATGATATAATATATAACCCGTCCAATGAGACCTGGCAGCCCCATCGTGTGGATATATTATCCACTAGACGGCGTCCTTTCTACGTCCTTTGTGCGACCATGAAACTGTCATCGCTGTGGTCGTAGAAAGGAGGCACAAGCATCGTTTTGGTTGCGAAATGTATGCTCAATAATCGACCAGTTGTCGGCACGTGAAGATTTTTATTACTCTAAGACCCCATTTCCATAGATTTTAGATCGATCTATCCCTGTGGGGAGTCTCACTAGATTACTGTCAGCTTAGCCGGCTTAAGCGTCTGTCCCGCCTCCTGAAAGCTGTAAGGGGGTAATTAACTATGGTGCGCGCTCGGCTGACTGCAATTTAGCTTGAACCCCCAGGGAGTTAGGTCGATCGAAATCTCTGGGAATACACCCTAAAACGGGCCGTACTACATGACGCAGAAAAGAAGCCGTCCAGTGTAAAGGGGGCTTAAGGGACAATGCTGCATGCATCGCTCACTGCATTGGTTGGCTGCACAGAAGCGTCTGTCTGGGGCTATTTTCTGCACATAGAGCATGTTACCCTTCACTGTAACAACATTGTGCGCGACAAATAAATGTTACAACTTGAACTTTATGAATTATAGTCGGTTAGGGCGACATGCATCAGGTTTGCAGGGGGGAGGGGGGGGGGTGGCGGCGTGTGTGCCGGCGCGTGGATGATTAGACCATAAGAGCACTATATAACTTGCTGTTAAGCCCTGCCTTACAAAATACTACTTTGTCGACTACAAATCCCAGATTCATACAGACTGGAAAGAAACAAGATATCTTAATAATACGAGATCCGTCATAAAGAATAACCTAAAGGCAGTAATGTTACAGGTTATAAGAAAAGAACTGGCGTGAAAACAGCGAGCTACGGAGTAGTGAACGCAGATCAATCACCTTGACAAATCAATGACCTAATTATTGAAGTGAACACTGCCATTTCGGTAACATTATAGGCTTTTGTTAAAGACTTTACATATGTACTTTTCCTTCATCTACGGGGCTGTTTATACAGTTATATCAGTTTTGTGAATCATCATCTATTTATCTTTACGAATTAGTTAAAGATATTTAATTCATTCTGCGCCCAGTTCATTAAATGTAAAATATGTCCGTTACAAGGGGTACACTCTCATGGTTTTATTTATTTATCCATCTTTCAATTTACTTATACTAAACTCTGTTTTTACAATTGATTAATACACCGACTGTTTCTCTTTCTTTTTTTCTCTGTTGTGCAATATATCCCATTTTATCAAAAATAAAACAACAATAACAACAACAATAACACCGAACTGATAGAAGTTCTTTAGGCTCAACCTTGACCTTACTGATGTCATGTTGGAATTTTAATTTCAACCGATCTAAACGAAAGCTGAGATAGACTTTGCAGAGAGCGCTTTCTTTCTTTTTTTTCTTTTTTTTTTTCCTACAGTGACACTGACTGACATTTTGTTTACAGAATAGTTTCCTTTCCAGTGATGAAGAAATCCACCAAAAACACCATTAATATCCTGGCCAGACACAACTTGTATGCTCATTAAAACCAGACAAGTCTTCCCCGTACACTAATTAACATCTGTCTTCTACAAGAAAAACACTGGTTAAAACAAACTGAGAGAGTGGGAGAGATAAATGAAGAAAGAAAGAATGTCTACAGAGAAAATAAAATACATTAGGTGTGAAAGCTTGCCATCCAGCCAAACCAGTTGCTAAGTAGCGTATTGCAATTAGCATTTATCTTTCTCATTTGTTCAGTGGGCCCTAAGGTTAAAAATAATTTAGCTAACGAAAACAACAATACAAGAATCTAGCGTGGAAATCTCTGGTTATCAGCATACACATTAACTATAACGTAACTCCTTATTACATATGTATAAGTTACCTGTGGCGGTGACCGGACCTTTGACCACGGCCACTACAATACCACGGCGTTAACTCATGTCATCGCATAATTACAGGGACTGGTCATTTTATCAAGGGGGGACATAATGGTCCAGATTGCCATCTGACCCTTGGTCATCGTTAAGTTATGTTGGTGATGTGAGACTGGTTGTTTTCCCCTTCACGTGAAGGAAGTGAAAGGAGGGGAGTTATAATAACAACACGAACGTACAAATTAATATATAATTCTACAAACTAAAACAATGAATAAATTTACGAAAAAGAGCGCTAAATAGCAGAATAAAATATGATGACAAAGAAAAAATGATATAAATGACGGCCAAGAAGGCTGATCACGCTGATTACCCCATCTTAAAATCCAATTTAACCAATTTTTTCAAAGACTCACCTTGTTACATGCCACAACTTGTATCCGGCTTTCTGGGTTCTCTCCAAGTGGATGCCCTCCTCACGCCAGCCTCGACATCGGACGAACATGTATATTAGATGTGACTTGACTGACTTTTAAAAGGAGGTCCCCTTCCCCTCTTCGTTATGAATTTATCTGCAAATATAACAATTATAACAAAATCAAATTTTAGTGGTTGACTTAAGTCTTCCTTAGTCATAATTAACGGAGATAATGTTCAGAGGCAAACTATAGGCTACGAAGTATTGTGATAAATTTAGAACACTTAAACTATCCCAAGAGACACAGAGGATGTTTCCTGGAGACTGCTAAGCCATGCTTCCGTTCTGTCGTGTATAATGTGTTTAGGGAGTTGAGATTTCCCTTTTTTAAAGTTCATGATTTTAAAACTTTTTCTGCGACTTTTAAAAGCGTCTTAATTTATCCACACTAAGAGATTTTATTTCAACAAAACTTCAGTTCATTAAAAATTTATAGGTAACTTCAGACAGAATCCTCACCCTGGCTAATATCAGATAATTTCAACAAAGTATAAAAGCGTTTATCCCCACCACAGCGTCCTTGATTAAATTAAGGATTCTGAGCTAGCGTCTCTTCATCACATTAAGTATAAGGTGCACGTGGGACGTAAGAGTTTCTTCTTTCTTCTATCGCGTGGACAGACGACGGAAAAGCTAACATATGAAACACAGGGTGATTTCTATTCACGTTATGCTACGATATATATATATATATCGCCCGATCTGTCCCTGACTGTAGCACCCCTGTGTACCCCCCCCCCCCCCCACCGACCCCCATCCCGGGTGGAAAAAGAGAAATATGGGGATAGAAGTAGTGTGTGTGTGTGTGTGTGTGTTTGCGCGCGTGTGTGTGTGTAGAGGGGGGGGGGGGGTTACTCACACACCGACGTACACCTCCTTTGTATTCAGACAACGGCATATGGATGTTAACTCCGGAGTATTATGAGTGGCTTGGAACACAGAAATAAACTTGCTACGTCTCACTTCACGAATAACCACACACTGTAGTGCTGTGAGCGGCCATAATTAACCCAATAAGTTCAACCTTAAATCAAACCCCATTTCTCTCTCCAGGTTTTCGACATCATGATATTCGCAGTAGGGTCATACGGTACACTCTGTCCACTGACCTACCTGACCACCCACTGTCCGGCCTGTCCAGCTCCCTCGGACTCCTCGCAGACACATTGAGTATTAACACATTTAAAGTCCCTAACCAGAGCAATACATCAACAAATAATTTATCTTAATCCTAATCTCTGTTTACCTTCAACTGGTCTCTTATCTAGCACAGTCCAGGGTGACAGGCAGGGAATCCGGCGATATCATAGGCCCACCTTATATACGATGTGAAGGGAGATTACCAAGAAATGAGGCTGGACGGTTTCCTTGAGCGTCCGAGCAGGTGTGGAGACGGTCAGAACAGTGGCCAAACTCACAGTGGACCCTTGTGACTGGACACAGTAGACAGGGGTAAGTCCTCGGCTCAGTCTTAATTGGGGTCTTCCTTTACACTGTGTCTCAAATAACTTCAACCCCAAGTCATTACTAATCGCACTTAACAAGAGTACTGACCATTGGCTATTCAGGTGGGGATGGCCGCCGCTGACCTTCCCACACTGACCAATGACAGGTGCCCGTCGGGTCGGTATTAAGGGCCATGTTGGTCACCTGGTGGTCAAAGTGGACAGGCCGGATTACAGCTGAGAGAGGTGGCTAATCACTGGACTTCATGGCCACCCGTACGCAGACTGGGACACGAAGTGTGCCTTAAAGATTTGCAGTGATTGTCTTTTGCCCTTTAAATCGTTTACTTTTAGAAATCATTCATTACACAGTCATTACACACACACACACACACACACACACACACACACATGCAATTATACGCCACCCACACATGTATCCACACCCCTGTATTCACGTTCGAATTTACACGCACACATTCACAAATGCAAACATACACACGGGCGCACACAAATTCGCACAAGCACGCAAACACACACGGGCATTCACACGCCTGCAGAAAGTCAGCCACTTTTAACTTACTTTGCAATCCCCCCACACCAGCTGTAGTCAGGAGAGACTAGACAGCGGAATATGTCCTCTCTACGGTGACTCTCTGTGCCAGAAATCACCGGCCACATCTTGGGACGGGATGTCTTACACCTGGCAGTCTCCACTGGGGGAACAAAGCCTCCTATTGAGCCTACTTTTGTCACACAGCAGTGACGCTCAAAAAGAACGCTCTAATACACGTAATATTTTATCAGCGTACTGTGGAAAGACATCACATGGCTATAACGATCTTCCTTATTGGTTCTAGCACATCTTTTAATAAAAGTCAGCGACCTATCACCTACACAGTGTATACTGTAATAATGCTACACTGCAATCGATAGTGTGAAAACCGTGATATATACCTTGATTCGGCAGATTTGATTACAATTTTGCTTGTCAAGTAAACAAAACAGAAAGAAGATTTAGTAAATTATAAACTAGATAAATTGTTCCCGTTTTGGTCTATCAGTGAGCGCGACGCCGAGTCAGAAATATACGAACAAAGTACTTCAGACTGGCAGTTACTTAATATCCATTCGTTACACCCCATTTCCATAGATTAGATCGACCTACTTTAGATTGACCTAACTCCCTGGGGGTTCACGCTAAATAGCTGTCAGCCGGGCGGACACGAAAGTTTGTAGTAGGCGGAACGGACATTTAAGTCGGATTATCTGAAAGTAATCTAGTGAGACCTCCCGCGGGGATAGATCGATCTAAAATCTATGGGAATTAGACTCGATTTAACATCTTGGTGTAGCAGGAATGGAGGTCCTAGAAATGGAAGTCCGGGCTCCCATATGATTACTACAGCTTAGGGTTAGTTGGAGTATTGGGGTTAGTATATGGACCAATGTCACCTGTATAAAGTAATAGGAAGCGGTCTTCGGTTCCAATTAGACCAAAGAAACATTGTCTAGCGGTTAATAACGTAATGACTTTGTGGCCCTGTGCCTTTGAGAATAAGATCAGTGCTTTAAGCCTCTCATTGAGTCTAGATTACGAACATCACACAGTCACTGAGGTACACGCACCCCCACATGTACCTGTGCATACATACATACACACGCACACATGCACTAACACTAACGTACACACAAACACGCACGCACACACAAACAAAATACACGCACGTTAAATGTCTCATCTCCACCATAACTCGCCCCAGCCCACCCCCCTCCCCACACACAGGGGCGGACCCAAAGATATTTTCTGACAGTCTTCCAAATTATCTTTGTTGATTCATCCTTCATTTTTGACCGTCTTCCGACAGAAAAAATTAGATACCCATCAATGTAAACTTGAAAATCTGACCGTCTTCCGAAAGACCCAGAAAATCCGCCCCTGACACACACACACTCCGGTGCACACACACACCCCAAAATCACGAGACATTGAGCCCTTGCACCCTTATCCCCACCCCACCCCCCCTCCCAGAAAATGCCCTTCAAGACACTTAAAAACTTACATCAGCGTTCATTCTGTCCTCATTCAGCGTTCATTGTGTGACACGGATGACCATCTCCCGTCACGTTCTAGGACCGCTGATCATGTGTGTGATCACTTCAAGTTCGGAGACAACCATAGCGTGTGCTGTTCCTTCAGCTGAAATTTATTAAGTCTCCCCACTCACACATTCGTAATAATATACCGAGACAAATTGATTAAAGAAACCAGCTATCGTGACTCGAGGTGAAAGTGGTGTTAAAGGTGACGGCAGTCAGGAACAGTGACAGTAGTTCACGGCAACACCATGGAGCCAGCGGCTGAAACATCAAGGACGCGGCCTTACAGTCTTGTCTGTGCTACCACCACGGTTGACTTCTTTTAATTGATGTGAGGATCACCAAAATAGATAGTCACCGCCACTGGAAGCTGCCTCAGAGCTGATCAGTTTCTGTCGAGGATTATTGTCCCGGTTCATGTCTCCAGTCTTATGAGATCTTTCACTGAATCGTCTCCGTCTATCCGAAATTTACGTATGCAATAAATTACACTAAGTCGCCTAAATTTGCTAGTTGCACAGTGTCCAGCAGCGAGAAAAACAATGGCACAGTAATGCCTTCCCAGGTTGTCGGAATAATTCTCACCTACTTGTTGCCCCGGTTTTCTTCAAGTTGCAGCTAAACAGTAATATTGAATATTGCCGCACACGCATGGAGTTCTTGCTCACTTTGTTGCTGACGACAAACCTTGTTCCGTCTCTAGGAAACAATTGCAGGACAATTGTTATCAGATACGCGGTCACTTTCCCGTTAATTGCTTTGAGAGTTGGAATCCCAGCAATAAGGTAATGCGGATAATTAGCCGGCCCACTAGTTAATCAGCATTCGTTAGTCATACTAAACTAGTGGGAAAAAAAGCGAGTTGATGGATCTCCATTGGACGGAGACAACTGAATCACAACTTATAACATTACACAGTCTTACGTCGTCTGCCAGTGACGCATTCAACACCCAAGCAGGATAAGGTCTTCTTCTGCGTATGAGCGCGTTTTTACGTGCTCTCAAGTTTTTTTAAAGGCCCCCTGCACTTTGCTGTTGCACTATGCTTCTAATGTGACAGACCTGCGTCCGCTGCACCCGCAAGAAGACGCCGCCCCCTTGCACGAAGATAGTGATTACCATTTGTCGGGTGCGTGACAGAGATGCCATTTTACGTCTTCTACCACACGCAGCGTCCCTAATATCGTTATCTGTTCACGTAGACTGCGCGTCTTTTAAAGAGAACGGTGCCAAAATTCGTCGGGTTCAATATATGTAACACCACCACGCTGTAAGGGCGCTGTGTCAGATGAATGAATGGCTCGTATCAGTGCTTTGTGGTTGTCAATAAATATTTTGTGATGATAAATGTGTGTGATATATGTAAATCATTAATTAAAGTAGTTTTTTTAATAATCTGCATTTATGAATGATATATCAAAACAATATTTCAAAATATAGATACGTTATCTCTGTATACACGTACACACAGGAATGTATGAAGTTTTCCATTTCGCACTCAATTTAATAGCTCATCTCCAAACTAATTTCTTTGCGTATATAACGCCTTCAGTCTATCCCTGCGTAATAAAACTGTGAACTACTATCCCACCTACCGCATCAACAAGAATAATATCCGCGCCAGAGATAGGTTTATAAACACGTCTTACGTCATTGGCACACTGCAATAGATTGGTTCTATCCCTGAATTCAGATAATTATGAACGTTTTTTTTATTATTTAAGGCATCTTCTTGTAAAAGGCGTTTAGTTCGCGCTAGATCGTAACTCCCTGTGCTCCGGGTAGTGCTCTGGCTGAGGTCGTAGTATTCGACACGTTTGTGCCAAAATTAACGAGAAATTTTAAATTGGTCTCGTTAATTTTTTTCTTCTAGTTTTCCTTCATTTGCTATTTCATTCACGGTGTAAAACATAAAAAAGAGAATCAGCTATCCAATGGCTGGTGTTATTATAATTTGTACACACATTTGGCTTGACATGTCGGTTGACTTACATCACTACATAGTGATAACCTCGTTTTGCTCGAGATCCCTAATCAGCGCAAATTCTGCTCTAGATCTTTAATCAGTGCAAATTTGGATAAACTCCTTTGAAGACATACCTTTGAGGCCTTAGGCAAATACAGTACATCGGTACTTTTTTGTACATCTAAGAATCAATACGCATCTAACTTGCGTCCCCAAAATTGTTAGTAAACTTAAATGAACCGAGTTGGACTTTGATAAGCGTGTGTAACCGCAGATGTATCAAGCGTATTAGCCAAGTGCAACGGCACTTTATTTTCCGAAGGCTCTGGCTTGAAGATAAGATCACATGACGTGATTTTACCGTACGAGCAGAGTAATATGTCATCTACAAACAACGGGATGTATTGTGAAACGCACGGATGACTGGATGCAAACTTTGTTGATAAAGATTGCGGTGAACACGATCCTAATGATGTAGTCTGACTGAATAACGTTGAATTGCGTGACACCAATTTTTTACATTTGCATAATTTGCCTCTGTGTGAGGGCATATACGTTTAGAAAAATCTCATATTCATGTGAATTGCAATCGAGCATTAGCTTATATCACTAGGGTGCGTAGACTTTGTAGCCTGAGAGCACTGGTTAACAGTCACGAAGAAAGTTTTACACTTTACAAAAGAGTTCATCATATTGCTTGTCAAGTTTTAGTGAAACATTAAAGGGATAATAACTCTTCGTATGAGATCTATATTTCACAATAAAAACATTGTGAATAACTCATAGAAATATAATATATTCTGTTTTACCACAAAAACGGCAGTTATAGCTATTATTCTGATATCTGAGCTCGTCTTTAGACCACGTGACCGCCATTGATGGCTGTACTCTGTTAAAATCTCTTAAGAGATTTTAAGAAAAAACCAAACTTTTTAGAAAAAAACCAGGGACTAACTTCGAATGTAAAAATGGATTCATTAACCATTGGTTAGTATGGGAAAATTGTTGTTTACTCCAGGAAAATTCATTTTTTGGCCGAAACGAAGAGTTATTATCCCTTTAATTGGTGTGCTCCGGTCTCTCAAGTTTTAGCCGTTTGTGAAATGGGGCATTAGTTTAATGAATTAGTTTCTTGTGATGTTGGCGTTATAAAGGATATAATATTCAAACCGCAAGAGAGACAATGGAAGGAAGCCCAAGTTAAGGGTCTATAGAAAACTTAAAGAAAACTTAGTGAGAAAATTATGTTAAGTATAAATTAAAACCTGTAGAAAAATCAATCATGGCGCAGTTCAGATCAGTTCTTTCATTATATGTGGAAACAGGCCGATTTGTTAACAAAAAATTAGAAGATAGACTCTGTTTTCTCTGTAACGATAAAAAAGCTGTGCTTCTATTAAAGTCTGTAAAAAGCACTTGAGGTCTCTTTTTAACTTCTTCCAG